AGGAACCAACCCTGCTGGCATCTTGGGCTCGAGCGTCTAGCCTCCAGCATCGTGAGAAAATACATCTCCGCTGCCCAAGCATCTCGGTCTGTGGTAACTTTGCCAGAGCGGCCTGAGCGAGTTAATAAACCTGTTTCACAGATAAGGGAACTGAGGTTCACGATGAGGGAAGCCGACTTGGCCACACCACCGAGCGGGCACACGGTGGGAACGGCGCTCTGTGCAGATCTGGGGCCCGCCCCATGGAGCCACGCGGTCTTCCAGCACCGCACTTCCGGCCCCTAGTTCACGCCGGGAGGATGTCCTGGGCCCCTGGCGAGTGTTTTCAGGGGGGCCACTCTGGCTGAAACCTCATCTCAGTGACAGAGCCACCTCTTGCTAAGCACCCACGACAGCCAGGCACCGTGCTGTGTTCCCCTGTGTCATCCACACAGCCTTCAAACGGCTCCACGAGGTGGCTTATCACAGCTACTCCCTCTTCACAGATGAGGCGGCGGCGGCTCAGAGATGCTAAGCAGCAGCTAGGAGGTAGCAGGGCGAGGATTTGAACCGTCCGATCCTTTTACATTCGAGTGTAATCTTTCACCTGGGGGATCTGACAGCCCACTGCAGGCCGGGTGGCTCCTGCCCATCCAGACCCTGACGCCCCGTGCTGTGACTTCCCCACGCCACGTGCTTCAGGCTCCAACACTCGGATGCTGTCCTCGCCAACAGCCAACGCTGACCTGGATGGGTGCTGTGCTAAGTGCACCCACCTAGAACGCCTCACCAGAGCCTCTACCCAGGAGGCGGCTGCCGTGACGACTATGAGCACCTCATTTTACAGGTGTGAAAACAGAGGCTCAGAGTAGTGAGGCGACTTCTCAAAACACCTAGAGAGGAAGAAGCCGGCCCTGAATTCCAACCCGGCCTCCCCTCCCGGCTCCCTCTCCCGGTTCTTCTCTCTTGGTGACATTGCTGATTCTCCAAATACAAGTTCTTTTTAAACAACACAGAAAAAGGCCTTGGTTCCATTCGTTGTGGGCTCTCAGGCAGGTCAGTGGCGGGCCCTGTAATCCCGCCTAAAAGGATTCGTTATTTTCACTGGGTGGCAAACCAGCAAGAGAGACGGCTGTTTGGGAAACTGTAGCGAAAGTCGACGAGGCAAGGGCCTGGAGCAGAGGTGAGGGTCAGCTCTCAGCCTCTGAGACTCCATCTGCCAGGAGGAAGTGTCCCAACTGCTGGCCCTCCTCTGCAGGGTCTGTCACCACAGGGCCTAGGCGCTGCTGCGGCCTTCCAGGCTATGGCTCCCACGCTCCTTCCCCAAGGCCAGGGTGGCATGCTGGAGCAGCCCGGGATGAAAATGGCAAAGCTCTCTTGGACCAGGAATGTCCCAGAGGAAGGAGGACTGGATTTGGAGTCAGGAGACAGGGATCAAGCACTCACTCTGCCCAGCTGTTGTGTGTCCTTAGGTAAGACGCTAAGCCGCTCTTAGCCTCATTTCTACACCTTTAAATGAGGAGAGACTTAACACAAAGACCAGTGAAATCAGATAAAAACGTGCTCTCTAGGTGGTAAAGTACTGTCACACACTCCCTGCCCTCACTGGAGCAAAACACATGCTCACTGATCACCGCTCGCTGGCTCTAGCCATGAACTCTGGGAGGGACCAAGTCTACAGCGATTGCTCATTAGCTAAGTGACCTTAGGCAAGTCACCTCACCTCTCTGAGCTGTGGGCTTTTCATCTGAAACATGGGAATAACACCTCTAACGGTGTTGCGAAGATCAAAAGGGAGTACGCCATTCATTGTGCAATAAGTATGTGTCAGGGTCCATTGATTAATTAGGACACACACATTGTTTTAATTAATTCTCTAAAGAACTTTATGAGGCAGATGTTATTTCTCTCCCCACTTTCAGACGACGTAACTGGGGCACATTGAACTTGAGTTACCTCCTCTAGGCCAGTGAGGAAGTAGTAAGTGGTAGGCTAGTTTGGAGCCAGAACTTAACTTGGCATCGGCAAGTATGGTACACCCGGCACTTGAATGAATTCGATCACCTTCCTCACTCTAGGCTCCATACTTCTATTAATGCAGCCCCTAGAGCTTTCGTGGTTTTGGTGGCCTCTTTACAGCACTTACTCATGACAGCTAGCTGTGATCAAACCTCCAAAGTACAGTTGACTCTCACTGCTAGTAGGCTAGGGGACCAGGAAGTGGTGAGATGATCACATGTACCATGAGATCTGTCAACACTGTACTGGTGTCACCAGACACTCATGTTCCCTAAAGCTCATCTGTTCCTTTTTCTCTCATGTACCTTCCATTCTTCCTCCAAAATAGGAAACAAACACTCAGCATCAGGATCATAGCTGCTACTCAGGCACCTACGACCTTCAAAACAGGGCACAGCCAGAGTCAGAGTCAAAGCCCCAAACCTCGCCCTCTAGAACCTCCTCAAACCAAAGTCCACCTGGAAGGCTCCGAAGGAATGGCCCCAAGGGTCTCCCCAAGGAGAGGGCACTTCCTTGCTGGCAGACTCATTTGTATCCAGACTCCCCCTCCGCAGCCTGTGGCCCTCTAGAGGCCCCTTCTACCCCATCCTGCCTTGCTGACCCTTCCCTGCCCACACCCTCCCTCCTCCAAGCCCCTGCTCAGCCTCAGCTGGCACCTCCCAACCAACACCCAACGCCTCCCTCCACCCAGTGTTTCCTCCCCTGCTATATTTCTCGATATTTATTGTTGTTCAATTGATTAACCTTCATTTGCTTATGTGTTTATTTCTGCTCCTCCCACTGAAGCATAAGTAAGCCCCTCGGGCAGAAGCTTGGTTCTGCTCACAACTGTTCCCACCTAGAAAAATCCTCGCCCGTCACAGTCCTGGCATGAACATTTCTTGGAGAACTGGGCGCGGATGACCATGCACTGTCGCCATGTGGACAAAGTGTGAGGACGAGGCCACGTGGGAACCAGGAGGACCCTCTGCTCGCTCTCGGCAATTCTGGCCTTCAGGACATCAAGAACGAGCTAGGACAACGCTGCGGGGTGCAGAACCCAAGCGGAGGGCGTGGTGCTCGCAGCGGCAGGGGTTGGGGGTTGCCCGTGGGGCAGTTCTCAGGGCACACGCAGCCAGGGCCAGGGAACTCACCGCGTCCTCAGGGACAAACACGTTGAGATACAGGCAGTCCTCGCTGACGCTGGGAGACGAGGGCGTTCTGAAGCCTGGCTGCCAGCAGCTGGCCCTGCAGACACAGACTGGCTGACTTCCAGGGGAAACAAGCGAGCGGACATGCCTCGTGTCCCCTTCCTGCCCCCCACCAGCAGCCAGAGGCCACTGTCCCATTCCAAGGGCCTGGAGCCCCCCTCCCCGCCAGCTCTACAGCA